ATAAAACACTGTTTAAGGAGGAAAGATTATATATTTGTTACAGCTATAAATCTTAAGATTTCTTCCTATAAAGTGAAACTTTAATTTAAACAGGAAAAAAATTCATTGATTTTTGGCATATGAGTAAAGATTTCTGTGACAGCAATTAATCATATTTTGCCCGATTTTGCTTTTTATGACTGCACATTTGGTGTGATAATTATCAAAGATTAATGACTATGGCAAGCAAATGTTATTCTTTAACATCACTTATAACATATTTGGTGACGATTATCAGAATTTTGTAGCAAATTCTTTTATGATACACATGCTATATGACAGTCTATTAGCTTAAATATATAACTAGAAAACTCCCCCCCTCCAGCAAATGGGAACAAATACAGAGACCCACAACCAGACAACAGGTGAGACCTTAGAACAGACAGCTGTAGGTGGGATTTCTCCTTCAAATCCCCCTCCTCAGAGCTTAAGAAACCGCTCAGAACAGAAGAAGGAAAGAGTGTAAGAATCAGAGAAGAAAGAAGACACCAGTAGAAAAGGGCCTTCTGAATCAACTAACCAAGGTGCCTATGTACTTACAGGGAAACACAGATCAGCATCAGGTCCTCTGTGTGTGTGTGTGTGTGTGTGGTGTGTGTGTGTGTGTGTGTGTGTGTGAATGTATATATACTTATATATATATATGTACACACACACACACATATATATATATATATATAAAATAGTTTTCAGTTTAATATTTTCAGAAGACTCCTGAATGTGCAGTCAAGTGGGTCTCTGATTCTTGTTACTCCTCTTGGTCCGCTTGGGGCTTTTTCCTTCTGTTTGTTGGTTTGCCTTGTTCAAATTCTATGTGCCAGTTTTATCTAACTGCATCCTATTTTTTTTTTTTTTGTATTCTATTGTTATCTCTTAGAAGCCTATTCTTTTCTAATGAGAGCTAGAGAAAAAAGTGGATCCTGATGGGAGGGTAGTGGGAGGAACTGAGAAGAGTTGAGGGAGGGGAAACTAATCAGAATTTATTGAAAAAGAAAAAAGGGTTTTAATTATAATTAAAGATTCATTTTTAAAATATATTTTTATTTTATGTATATGGGCATATCCACATATAGGTATATGCAACAAGTGCATGACAATGGAAGCCAGGAGAGTGTGTCTGGTGCCCTGGAGTTGCAAAGTGCTCTGCTGTGTAGTTGTCGGGAAATAAGTCTGGGACGTCTGATAGCACTAAGCTTTCTTAACTCTTGAGCTATGTTTTTAACACCACAATTAGAAGTTCTTCATTCATACTGGCTCTGATTTATCTGTCTAATTAGTAGTCAGCTAACATTTTCATTTTGCATGAATGCCCATATTGGCATCTTTTGCTATTGCCCAAGGTTTATATTAATGACCAAAATATTTTGTACATTTCCCTTTTATTACAATCTGACTGTTTAAGAAATATTCACCCAAGATACTATTTCTGATACATCTGTTATTATGTAAAGGGATCAGCTCTAAAATAATTTTCATTCTGATGATACAAGATCTAACATTTATTGTTTCTTGGCTCTTAAAAATAAGAAAGTAGAATATTTCATTTCTTCTATTTCAATACTGATCAAAATGTGCCTTCAAAACAATTGGAAAGAAATAATCACACATTTTATTTATCCTGGAAAGGCAACATATTTTATTTTTAAAGCAAAATGTCTTTTAAATTTTACCTACACTGAACAGTCTAGACATGACCTAGAATTGCAATCACTTCCAATGCTGAAAAGTAATTGGACAGGGTCAAGTTTGGAGCCATGTTTTTAAAATTTATGAGACTCTTGACTCTCGTCTTAAATATTAGCAATGACTCTGTCACAACTTAAATCTCAAGAACCTCTATACAGAATTATTTGACTGTAGGGATAAGTCCCACCCCTTAGGGGGCGTGTTCGCCTCAGGCTAAAGTTTGCCTATAAATTTGGCAAGTGTGCGCCCAGCCCTCGCTTCTGCTTTCCTGGTCTCTGCGGGAACGGTGGTTCTGTAAGTCTATTCCTCCATTAAAGCTGTCTATATTTTGACAATCTGTCTGCATTCGCTTACGACGTTACATTTGACAAGGTTTTATGTTGATAATCACTAGGGAATATGTAGACAAAACTTCTTCATAAAGCTTTATGGAAACTATCCTGCCATTCATTTGAAAGATGGCAATGAAAACAAAAATACGCACTGAAGATCCCATTTGAGCATATTTGTCAAAATATAAAAAGATTAAAGTTTGGGTATTGCTTGATAGCTTTTCTTGCCTATTAATAAATTTCTGTTTGAATGATTATATGTACATAGACCAAAGACTGCATTGTTAATCACCTCATAAATTAGAAAGTTCATTTTATATTAAAGTAGCATCCCATTTTATTCCTTGGGTGTTTATATTTATTTTTAGTGATTTAACTTATTTTCTATTAAGTAATATTATTCATGATCTTGATAATTTGCCTTTTACACAGAGAGAAAGATAAGCCTCATGTTTTCAGTCAGGCAAAACAATTATATATTTTTAGCATTCTTTGGCCTTGATGTAGTAATACAATGTGGTAAATTGGATGAATGGCCCCCAAAGGATCATGTATTTGAATATTTAGTTCCCAGTCTATGGACTGCATAGGAAGGATTAGGATGTTTCTAGAGGAGTTGTGTCACTGGAGGTGCACACTGGGTTTTCAAAATCCCACACTAGGCCTAGTCTCACTTCTCTCTGCCTCCTACCTGTGGATCTGGAGCTAAGCTCTGAGCTACTGGTTAGAGACTAACCTGCCACCATGTTTCTTGCCATGGTGGTCATGGACTAACCCTCTCAAACTGTCACCAAGGCCCCAAATTAGTGTTTTCTTTTATAAGTTGCCTTCATCATGGTGTTTTTTTTTTCACAGAAATAGGAGATTAATAAGATAACATGAAGACATTATCATAATAACCATAATTGTGCATGAGTGTTTCTATGTTCTTTAAGTAAATTCCATACTGCTTAGTTTCTATGTAGACATATTTAAAATTCTAAATGCTAAGTCCATTCTCAGTACATGTGTGTTTGCTGATTCGTAGCAACGAAAGCATGTAAGTTTAGATAGAGTACATGATAATTTGAAATGCTATTTTAGGTTATCATTTTAAATTCAGAATTGTATCAATGAAATCGAGGAATTCGCATGCTTGAATCACAGTGTATCCACAATGAATCTGTGATTGCATATGGAGGTTTCAAATAAAAATTTGAGTACGTGAGGAGGCTCACATAAATACTCGAAATCAACAAATATGCTACATTTATAGATATTTGTCTTTCTTTTTGACATACACTGTCTTAATACTTTTAAATATTCTTGGTTTAAAGAGGAACACCATATTATTTCTTTATTCTTTTTTTTTAGATGGCTTTAGTCAAGACTATAAAAGCTGGCATAGGAGCTGAGCTTCTCTATAAGAAAACTCTTTTCCAGTAACAGCTATCATGAGAATATACAAGAGATCTGAACTCTGGGAATTTAAGTTCAATTTAGCTTTCCATAGTAACAGAAACAGTATTTTTCTGATAAAATCCTCAAATAAATATCTTGGGAAAAGTGACATTCCATGGGAATCTCAAGTGTCTAACAAACTTTACTCAGACAGTTTAAAACAAAGGATACATTAATTTGTGAATGATTTTTTTTGTGATTTCCATTTAGATTTGGCCCGAAAAAAAAGTGGTTTTAAGTGTTAGAATTATTTTTAAACTATCCAGGCCTAGGAAAACGTATGGATTGTCTTTCAGTAATTTGTCCTGGAGATTCTGGCGATTAGCTCATGTCTCATTCCCTACAAAAAGAGATCAGAATTCATGTGTTTTCACTGACTCTTGCCTTCAATAACAGTAACTTGTAAGCTATTTGAAGGGATGGAAAGCATATACTAAACGATCCACTCCCGCTGCTCTAGAGTTTTTTTTTTAAAAGAAGGTCCAGCACTGCCATATCATTCAATGCTCTCAGCTTTTGTTCTGTCTGTTCTTATGAACAATACATAGTGAAGCTCAACCTCTCAGCCTTACTGCCTTCTGCTTATTCGTTTGCTGACAGATTGTGTATGACAAAGTCTAGAAGTTCAAGAGACTTTGCATGTGAATTACTATATACATTCCAAGAAGTGGAACTCCACAGGGATTTTCCAAAAAATGCACACTGACCTCAAGCTGCCCTTAAAAATTACAAAGTGAGATATGTACAGAACATGGCTGGGAGACCTCAAACACAAATATATCACTCTACTCTGAATTTGGTGTATGGTAGAATTCCTCAAATATGTTATTTTCCTATTTCTTCTTATTTTATTCATTTATTCTTCTCTCACAAAATACATTCCAACCAGAATTTCTCCTCCATCCACTCCTCCCAATTCCCTCTACCTTCCCTCTCCCCATAGACCTACTGATTCTGTTTCCCAACAAAATAAGCAGGCCCAGTGATATCAACCCAACTGGGCATAACAAGATTCCTAGTGTCCTTGACCCCTCTCTCTCCTATAATCTTTCCTCCCCAGAAGACAAAGTCTCATAAGACCCCCTCCTTAATTTCAAGTCTTACAATCTTTCTGCTTCCTTTTCTGCAGCATTCTCTGGATAGTTGAGAGGACTGCCTGGTGTAAAAAGATGTTTTGAATTCTAGAATTATAATGGCTTTACAAGCCTATATATTAACTGTATCAAAAACAATTAATTTTGTATAAATGCACATTTTTATGTATAAAATATTTATCAGTAAATATTTCATTAAAAAAATAAAAGCAGGAAGCATCCCTGCAAAGTAAGGATAACTTGAACTAAGGAAAGCAGGAGATTACAAGTCATGTGATGGTAATCACCAGGACTTAGGAGAGGTGGGATCTGAGTTAGGGTTTCTATAGCTGTGACAAAACACCGTGAACACAAAGCAAGTTTAGGAACAAAAGATTTATTTGGATTATGCATCTATATTGGTGATCAACATCAAAGTAAGTCAGAAAAGGAATTCAAACAGGGCAGGAACCCAGAGCACAAGCTGAGAAGGAGGCTTTAGAAGGGTGCTGCTCACCGGCTTTCTTCCCACCACTTGCTCATTCTTCTTTCTCATAGAGCCCAGGACCACCAGGAAAGGCATTGTACCACCTACAATGGGCTTGGCCCTGCCCCATCAATCAGTAATTAAGAAAATGCCTGACAACTGAATCCAATAGAGTCATTTTTCTCCATTTAGCTTCCCTCCTTTCAGGTGACCCTACCTTGACATAAGATTAGCCAGCACAAATGTTTATCATCAGACAACCTATATAGAATAATGAGAAAATATATGGCTTAAAATGATTCACTGTTGCATAAAATAAGAAGATTTTCACACGGAAGCTGCCACTGCGCTTTCATATAAGTAAGAATTTAGAATGAAGGTCATTTAGTAGGTATTAGAAGCGAGAATATTTGTAGATATAAATGATTTTCAAAGGCTAGTAAAGGGAATGAAGGCCACTAAAGGTCAGTCAAAGGAATAATACAATGTAATGTTAATTATTTTAATGTTCATTCATTTATTTAGAAATTCAGCTGAAGTGGCTTGGATGTGCCCAGGTAGAAAAAGTTAACTACAGAAGGAACAGCTGAGCTGAAACATGATCAAGCACAAGATATGGTGAATTAGAGACTTAAAATCTAAGACTAGAATCTCTTTTTGTAGAAGAGCAAGACTGCCACTGTCTTGTTAGAACAGCACAGAAAGAAGTTAGATAACAAATGTATCTGTAAGGTAAGGTAATAACAGTGGCTAGCCTCTGCAATGTGGGATCATAACCAACACTGGTCTGTCTTTCCAGTGTTTTTCTTTTCTTTTCCCCCTTTGTTTAACTCCACCTTCACATTTTATCATGCATCAACCTCCAGGATTTTTTAGATTCATCTTCCTATTGTAGCTGTCACTGTTCTATCAAAGATCAGAAACCCATTCATAAAACATTTATTATATAATCAGTAAATGTCATAAATACCCTGAGTTCTGAACTTGGATCCATTAGCTTGTGGTGGTGAGTCATGGGGAAGAAAACTTTAGTGATAGTGAAAGAAATAAAAATAGAGACAAATAAATGGAGCAATAACCCCTATACATTGGTTCAAAGTATTGATGTTAAAGTTTAACTTGTCTGCTTAAAGTGCTGAGAATAGCTGACCCCTGAGTTCTCAGAACTATTCAGAATGTTTATACCACTGACATTCAGGTTCTTCAAGAGAGACTAGAACAGAGTGCAAGGTGTCGAAACTAGACAAAAGGACTGTGACATACTCTCTTTTGAACGTGTCATTACTAATGCAGTCTTGACCTCACAACAGTTATTATTTACTGCAATGGGCTACACAAAACTGAGCTTATCAACATTCCATCATGAATTAGCAAGGAGCTTCAAATGTTATTTCTTATTCCTGAATTATTAACTACTGATGTATCCTGAAAGAGCAACATTATTTTCAATTTCCTACCCAGTGAGGAGCTAATATTTCCTTTCTTGTGGTTGCGTAGACATTTCTGGATAAATCTAGTGAGTCTCAATGGGAAAAATAAATGAACTAATGAATATGGGAAGGTGATAATTAAGGAGGAGGAAATAAAATGGAGGTCAGAGGTATATTGGATGATATAGTATTGAACTCTTTGCAAATATTCTTATGCCCTTCTTTATTGAAAATAAAATCATTATTGGTGGTGAATTCATATCTGAAAACAGTTACTCTATCTACAGAATGTTACTGGTACATTTTAATATTGCATATTTCTTAGACATTAATTTCAAACATAAATATTTTTAAATTTCTTATACTCTCAAGGCATCTTGAACTTTCCTTTTACAGAAGCATCTTATAAATTTGTCCATCTATGGTCATAATACAGTCTCTAATGTCTCCTTAACTGATAGATGTCAGTAAGCAATAATAATATATTATTCCAATATCAAAAAGAAAATAGAATCTTAAAATTGTTATGTAAAACTACTCAAATTTGGTGAGAGATGTCTCTGTGACCGTGTGTGTTTGTATACAGCTTTGATAAGACAGCCACTTAGTTATCATCTGTAAATCTTTTCAGTAACATCGGAGGTGCTAATTCATATTTACTTAGCACAGAAAAGGTTATAAACGCTATTTAATGATTTCCTTGTCATATGCACATAAACACAAATACACACGATACAACACACACCAAAGCTTCTTCAAAAATAAATTAGTCTCAGCCATCACCATTATTAGAAAGATTCTGCTCCAGTTAGTCTTCCCTCATCTTTCATAGAGTTTCTCATGTTAGTATTTTGGTACAAAATGTCATTTTTTTTGTCATCAAAAATAAATATATTTTGTGTTTTACTTGTTGACAACCAAGACTTATAAATCCAGATGAATGTGGCAAGAAATGTTTTGACATGTACTGCAAGGGATTACACACCTAGAATTTATTTATTTTTCCCTTTAGTTTGATTTTATTTATTTTCTCAACTGAGAGTGCTGGTTCACTCAGCTTCTGTCTCAAGGAATAAGAAGTCACAACAAAGGAGCTACGAGAGATGGACTCTACTGATAATTAACCCCACTTTGTGACCTTTTGAGCTATTGTTTCAGTAGAACACAGGAATCTGAAAAATTAATGTGCAATCTGGATGCATAATTTCACACAAAACAGGCAGAGTACACAAAGAATATCCATAAAACCTAGGATCTTTTCTGAAACTCTTCCTGTAATGTCATAGGCAGTGGTCACCAATAATAAATTGATTCAGCAACTAAAACAGGTGGACTCCATACAAGGTAGTAATCCAGACGAGGTTTCTATTTCTCCATCATATATAGGGTCATGATCACATGAGCTAATAAGAGAAAAGAAAATGTAAAACATAATAGAGGAAAACCGAAAAGGTACCAATAGATCTATTATAATATTAAAAGGGCACATAAAGTCATTCTATTTTCTACTTGGTTCTATTTTACACTTTATTAATTTTTATTTGTACTACATTTTGCTTTGTAATTTACATATTGGATTGGAAGTATATATGCATATAGTTTCTTGTATAGACTATAGGCTATTGAAATATTTATTATCTCAAAGAAGTGGCAATCATGTTAAGATGTTCTCTGTGATTGATAAATTTGGAGTTTTATTTCTTGATGAATGTTCATGATTTCCTTTACAGCATGTGAATGTACCTGACACTTGATAATGTCAGTTTTGCTCATTTATTAAAGTCAGAGTGGGTTGTCAGATCTGGGTTTATATATGGATACCACAAACCACACTCTGTGAAGATGTCAAACTAATTCATTTGGTATAAATTTGAAAGTTTTTCATAACTTGTTTTCCTGGAATCTGCAAATTAAAACAATTCTCCACATTTCTTTGCAATACAAAATTTACATATGACAAAGAATCTACCAAAGATAGGCATGCATGTAATCACTGAAAACAGAAAGATAATTTAGAAAGCCATAGCTGTGCACTTATCACAAAAATAATCTGACATTTCACAACCTCCATTAAGCTTCCTCTGGTATCTATACTCACGCTGGATAAGGCATGATGAGCTATGCTTTGCATTGCTGTAATTTAACTCCATTAAAGTCATTTCCTTTTGTCATATCTTAACCACTAAAAATGATAGTAGTAAAACATATGTATTAGACTGTAGATAATCAACCCAGTGATTTATAAGTATTATGTCCTTAATTGTGGATAAAGCTGTATATAAAGCTGACATTACAATTTTGTTTGTTAGCGTAGGTATACATTCTAGGTTTAGCTAACTCTGAGACTAAAAAATAAGTCTTCCATCATAATCTATAACTTCTAATGATGTAAAATAATATTGAAAGCTTAGACCTATTAATAAATGATTATTTTATATCAATAAATGATCATTAAATGAGCAAATTTGTGTGGATTGTTTTCTTGCTTGTAGTACAAGAGCTGTCTTAAGGGTTAGAGCATGTATTTTTAATTTAATTAGAACTCTATAACACCTCAGCATACATTTAACAGTACCTTTGGAAGAGTAACATTTTACTTCATATAAGTACAATATAATACATTCAAGGCACAATCAACTGTTTGCATAATTTTGTAATATTGTGTTAAAAACTTGTATTCAAAATAATTTATGTTAATTTGATCAAGTATATCTTCACAAAATTGCAGAAATTATAAAAGGTGTTGTCAATTTGCATTGTTAACATCACAGATTTCATTCTTTGACTCATCTTTGAAGAACATTTTATATAAGAAATTTCAGATTCTCTATTTCTAAAGCTAATATAAGCTAAATTTGAGTGTACTTAAAAATTCATTGCTTGCCAGGTGATTATGGCTCATTCCTTTAATTGCAGCACGCAGAAGATAGAGGCAGGCAGATCTTGGTGAGTTTGAGGCCAGCCTGATCTACAGATGGAGTATCAAGACAGGCTCCAAAACTACACATAGAAGCCAGAACATTAACCCTTGAGGAGAGGGTTGCCTATTTATCTATTTCAGATGGCCCTCCCAGTAACAATCATGTAAATTCTTCTCATGGGGACCAAGGTCCAGGCAGCAAGCCCCCACCAACCACAAAGGTGACGTGAATCTTGTTGAGTGCTGGCACTGGAAAGATTGTAAACCAGACTTCTCGGATGATGACACCCTGGACATGGTGGCCTGATCTGATGTTTGACCTCTGCAGTTTGGTGCATGGGAGATGGGTATGGGAGAATGGATTTAGGGGATCAAAGATAGACCTGAATGTGGAGGCTTTCAGGTGTACACCTTACCCCAGGCATCTTACCCTAATGAGCCTGGGTGTTCTCATGTCCTTAGGAGACAAGCCTCCCTGCAGACACCCTTTTATGTATGCTCAGGAAGCAACTGGACTGCCTCCACTATCAGAAATTCTGAGGGGTCTCTTGATTACTATTGTTCTTCCTGGGGATTTGAGCAGACTGGGCTGGACATAATTAGAAAATGCAGAGTCTGCATTACATTATTTACAATAGTCTTTGAATTCCTCAGCAAGGGTAACCTTATAAAATAGGAAAGGCTTAGACTTACTGTTTATGGAAAAGGGAAAAATTTGCAGCACACTTGGGGAAAAATATTGCTTCTGGGATAGTTACAAGAACCCTAGATGAGTTAAGAAAAGATATTGATTCATTTAAGTCAAGGACCCCCTATGAGACCTAGTTTAATTGGTCCCCATGGCTTACTACACTCATCTCTTCCCTACTTGGACTGGTGGCTATTTGTTTATTGATCTTTTTGCCCCATGTGGTTTCCAAAGACTGAAAGAAGCGTTCCAAAAACAGATACAACAGGTACAACTCATGGTCCTTCAAGTACATTATGATAGGCTCAATACAACTCACCCCATGGATGAACTCTTAATTTGAGGTGTCTAGGCCAAAATTCTGGATAAGGGTGACCTTGACCCATACTCTCTTTTTGGTAGCTATTCTGGTCTGGTGACTGGGGTAGAGGGTGGGATAAAAAACAAAAGGGGAGATGTTGGGCCAAAATTATCTCAGGGCCTTTACCTCAAGACCTATAGGACAGAGAAAAGCCTGGCTTGAGTTTGAATGAGGATGAGATAGCAAAATTTAGGTAGCTGCCCCTCCAGCCAAAGAGAGGGTTTAGCTGTCTCTCATTGGCTGGAGGTACCCCCACATCACAGGACATTGCTTAACTTTTATAAGCAGATGCTCACAGTATAAACTGAGTTCCTGGACTGACTCAATTCGCTATCATGTCCGATTGTCCTGCATGGTGGGGCTGGATTGTCCTGTATCATGGGGGCTACAGAATGGAAAGAGTGCACTCACCTTTCTCTGGGGAATAAGGGAGCTCAAGGAAGCCTAGCAACTCGCACCCAACATGTACTGTATATATGCTAAATTGTAGTTAATGATATTCACATTTAAATTAAGAAGAAATTTAACACCTAACCTTGTTATTTGATTCAAAATATTTTAATTTTCCTTATTATTAACGTGTTTATGAATGTGATGTATGATCTTAGAAATCAAACCCATGTCATCAGGTGTGGAACATGAAGGTCATTATCGTCACAAATAAGCTCTAGGGGTACTAAAAACATTGAACATCCCTCATATTAAAAAAGTCCTAAGTTTGTGACTCTGTGGATGTTTTTCTCTGAACCCTACTAGCAGCCCAGAAGCTGATTCTTTTGGGTTATATTAGAAACTATATGCAAGACTCTGAGTCCCTCTTCCACTTAGTATAAGATATTTAGATTAGTGTGGCAGAAAGATGACTCCAAAGATCATGCTCCTGGTACTAAGAACCTGTGGGTGTTATTGTATACTGTCATTTTTTTTTTGCAGATCTTCTCATCACATACCTTAAGAAGAGATAATTCTGTATTACACAAATATTACATTAATGTCTATACAGAGTTGTCTACAGGGAACAGCCAGAGGAATGTTAGGTTAGACACATAGAAGCTAGAAGTTGGAGAGATATAGTGTTGTCAGACAATAGTCTGTACCCTCTCAATTGTATTTTAATAAAATGCTGATTGGCCAGAGTACAAGAGAATTTTGGGAGGAGAAAAGTTCAGTCTGTAGTCAACATCCACACATATAAAGTGGTATAATCACTTGCAAATTGATCAAACAGAAAGTGGATTGGGGAATTGGCAAGTGGCCTTGAGAAAGAAGAAATATTAGTTCAATTCTGTTCTTGCAGAGCAAGCTGTATATGTGGGAAATGAGTTGCATAATTTGTTAAAGTATTAAATTTAAATAAAACCCACCATTTAGGAGTAAAGGAGTTTAGATAAAGCAACTACAGGAATGTAATATTCAAGGGAAATTATGAAATATGGCATGGTGCTGTTCAGGGACAAGAAGCAGAAGGTAGTCATTCCAGGCAAGGAAAAAATAATAAATTCTTATGGCCCAGAAAATATATGATATGATCAAGAAGAAGATTCTATATTCACATCACAGGTATTCTTATTTATATTTAAAAAGCAACCAGAAAAAAAATGTAAGCTGCATTTGAAAGTAGGCTCCGTAAACTGGTTTTTACACCAATATTTTTTTTTTTTGCTTTTATTCTTCAGGCAGTTTATCAGTTTTGATTCAAAAATCCTTAGGGGAAGATTTGCTTCTATAAAACAGCAATGCTTCTGAAAGCGGTAAAGGATTGGTGGGTTATGAAAGCGGGATTTCACCATGCTCACTTAAGTGTTTGAAGAATATTTTGTTTACGATGGAGTGTCTGTGATATTGCTTGTCACTTCCCATTACCTTTTGATCAACATGATAACAGGAATAGCACCTCCAAAAGCAATTGACTCTGACATTGTGAATGTACTTAATGGCTTTCAGTTATGGCTATGAGTTCCAAGTGCTAGCCATTTGACTTCCACTATAATCAATTATTATAACTTCATGAGACAGTTAAATTGAGTGACCTCTAGGGCTACATGCTTGAAATAACATTTGAGAAAATTTATATAATTTGTAGGCCTAGCTGTAAATCCCAACTTCACTCCATAGAAGTATCACTTAAATGAACTTGGCAAATAACCTCTTTCAGGACATGACTGATTCTTTTTCAAAGCATAATGTGAGTGTATACTCTAGAGGCTCAAGTTGTTCTAAGATGAAGTTAAAATAGACTATCATTATTTTTTCTCCGTATTGCATTCACAACATTTTAAATATTATTTGTACTAACTCCACTATCAGCATCCATGTATATATAGATGATAACAAAATAAAATATTGATAAATTAAAGGAGTATAATTTTAGCTACCATTCTAGTTATGAGATGTACAATATTTAGCCTACACAGTATTGCAAATTCTAATCTTAGCATTAGCTGATTAAGTGCTCGCTCTTTTAATTATATGATACATCTAAAGTATATAGTATGTTTTGGGGCAAATGCACATTGCATACATGCAGTAAAACAGTTGCTACTGAGTACTCGATTAGTGCATATTGTGATCTGCTTTGTGTTTCTATGACTAGCAAGAACTTAATGGATACAATTTGCAATAATTTAAGTACATTTTTCCAGTATAACATAATTGTCTTAATAAAACCATGCCTATAGCTGGCTGCCAAGGAAAGTAGCATCCACTGCCTTCCATGTGTGTAAATGAAACTTTGTTTTTTGACCATCATTCATATATTTTTATAAGTTACAACTTTTCATGTGAAAAGCAACATCAATTCATAAGCAGTAAATATAAGCAGTTAGTTAGATTTAAACAGTTTAGTGTTAATATTCCATAATACTGAACCATATATTATTTTAACAAATTAAATTTTCCAGCCCTAATTTTAGCTTGGATGTTATATTTCACAATTAGTCTTCTGCCTTCTTTGTAAAATGCATTGTTCCTTCTGAATTTTCATTTTTTAAATTGTAAGCATAATTTTGATTGATTCTTTGGGAATTTCACATTTGCCTCTGCCTCCTGAGTGCTGGAATTAAAGTTGTGTACCAGCACTGCCTGGTCTCTAAGGCTGAATAGTGGCTTAGGTCTGCACTCTGAGCTTCAGGCAGGCTTTCTTTGCTACATCACAAACAAAACATCATCAGAGAGTTGAATTTAAAGTTTCATTCTTTAGAAACTTTATTCCTATATTTTATTCACAAATGTTTGTATTCAGAATATTAACAGTCTCTCAGATTTGAGATAAAAATATTACAACCTATACAAGGTGACTATGGATGCATTTGTATTTCTGACACTATGTGTTCTCACCTTCTATTTGGATAAGCACTAAAGTAAAATAGTTGCTTACTAAAAATTAAAATATTGATTTTGTGTCTTGTTGATTTTACTACTATTTTAATATTTTTGATATGCTAACTGGCCATAAATAAGATGCTTTTGATTTCAAGTGACATTATACATCCCAAGTAAAGCTTGAATGCACTACATTATGTGGCTGGAAACAGTTAGGTAGAACATAGGTCAAGCACAAACATGATAAAGGATTTTCCGGGTCTTAGTTCTGCTTTGTTGTGCAGAAGGTCAGATAGAAAAGAGTGTTTATATTCTTATGTACATAATTCCCTAACATCAAGACTGAGGGAAACTTCACATTGAAGCGCTGTTTGTCCATCTGATAACCCATGCCATGTTTCTCTGGGATAAGTCCAATTCTCATTTCACAATCCTGTGATTTTGGCAAGACATCCACTTATATTCTCTGTTGGTTTTGACCAAGTTTCTCATGCAGTTGTCAGGCCATAATGATTTATTTTAATAATAAAGTGATAGGTCATTGCTGCTAAGAGGTGTTTCCCTTAAATTATTTATTTTAAGCTAGAAATACAGGAACTGGACACTTAAACTTTTGTTTTGTTTTTATAAACATAAATTTGTATAAACATATATATATATATATACTACAATATATTGATTTGTCTTTAAACAGCTTATCAGTAGTAGTTTCCATAATGATTTTGTTTGCTTTGGTAAATCAATGAGCAATAGTTAGTTAATTCAATTAATACAAGTCAGCAAACATATATTAAGGTTTGAAGAAATTGACTATAGTAAAAGGAAGGAATGTCATACAGATAGAGAATGGATCTTCATTCTCAAGTTTCTCCTGTCTTAGAATAAATATTTAAATTTATTGCCTTTAGTAGTCTGATTTCAAATAAAATATAATTTAAACCTATATCCATCAGTTCAAAAGCAATGTAACATTATAGCAAGAAGTAAAAATCAGTATTATTTAAAAATAATGTAATGTTTATTGAAGTATATAAGCAGAAACAAAATTATGTTAAGAGATTGGCCTAATGGTTCCTAGAAATTATGCTATATCTCAGATTTGAGATCTTGAAATCCCAGTGTGGTTTCATTTTCTGTCTTTGTGGTGTTCCTATGTCTTTTATTGTTTTCTCCCTGCCTTGGTATTCCTTCTTTTGTAATTATTGTCTGTAGCCCAACAGAGCCAAGAACTAAGTGAAAAGAATGCCCAGCAGCAAATAGATGCCTGCAAGTTGTAGGAAGTGGAGGTTCCTATGTCTACACCTTGAGTCCCAAGCTCATCCAGAGTGCCTGTCATAGAACAAGTGAGTTCTTGTGACCTCCAGTAGAAGAATTAGTAAAATAAATAGGCGGGAATTTTTTTATTCTTATTCTGCGGTATAGTTGATGCTTTAGTTCCTGTTCTATGTCTGTGAGGAGACACCATTCCAAAGGCAACATATAAAATGAAGCATTTAATTGCTTTTTAATGGTTTTATAGATCTTGTCCATGAACATCATGGTGAGAATCGCACAGGCATCGTGCCTGAGCAGCAGTAGAGAGTGTTACATCCTGACCCACAGACAGCAAGCAGAAAGACTAAGACTTAGACTGGAATGGACCTCGAAACCTCATAGCTCATCCCCAGCACATACCTCTTCCAATAAGATCAAATCAATTCCAGCAAGGCCACATTTTTATAATAATTCTTCCCAAGAGTTCCACAAACTGGGGACTAAACAGTCAAATGTATAAGCCTATGAGAGATGTTTTCATTCAAACCACCACACTGAAAACCATAGGAGAGAATTGGGGAAACAATTCATAAAGCATCTCATCAAGTACAGGTGATGTTATTTTACACTCCTTACACAGAATACAGCCCCTTCTTCATCATCGTACATAGAAAGATGCACAGGGTGACACACGGGCAACAACTCCATACTGTACACTTTGCAAATATCCCCTAAGTTATGGATATTTTAATATGATAAGGAAGGATAACTTAATATGATAGTGAATTTTAATATGATAACTTAGAAAGCCTTAAAAATGTAAGCCTCAGACATTAGGACTGTTGATTGTTGCTGCTCCTTGAAACTCTGTGACTGGTCTCACATCTATGAAGGACAGTGAGTGTATTATATACCAGTTCACTCTGAATAGTGAATCTTGTATCACAGAAAATGGCACGAATCCCTGCAGAGTATAAACATCATATAAAGAATGCATTCTGCCTTTTATTGACTAAGGTGGTGGTTTGAATGAGAAATTTGCACTTTTACTCCCATTTGATGAACTATTTTGGAAAGGTGTGGCTTGTGAGAAAATGCATGGTCTTATTGGATGGAATATGCACTGGTGTTTCTCCTTTTCTCTGATGCCTGATGAACAGGATGTAATCCTCTCTGCCATTGCTATAGCACCGTCACTCCCCGGTTCTTGTCGTGTCGGTCATTGACTAACACCCATGGTAGTTTCACTGTGAGAAAATCTTCAGTTAAAAGCTCCCTGTTATAAGAGTTGCCATGGTTGTCATATCTCTTCAGAGCAATAGAAAAGTATAACTAAGTCAGCTAGGCAATACCATTGAGGACAGCAGTTCCTGAGTGGTGGAATTTTTGAAAGTATACATGTATTCCCTGTGAGAAACACTCAGTCACAGACCCTTTGCTGAAAAATGAATTTATTTGTCATAAGCAATCTTAAGACACATCATATGTCAGTATATCACATGCTCTTTAAATAAATGGACAATTGCTGCCTGAAATCTTACTGTAAGACAAAAAAAATTCATAACTGAGATATGTATCAATTCCCATAGGACACAGTCTGATACAGTCAAATAACTCTATTGTCTTTTTAAGGTAAGCTTTCAATGACAGGCTTATGATGAGCCTCTGTGGATCATGAAGTAGATATTCAGCAGGGTTAGTGTATGAATGAATGTTTGTGATTGAGAACCTATAACAATTTATCGTATAAGTAGCCTCTATTTCTATGACTACAGTTCTCATTATCTCATTAACATGGTGACTGTGTTAGGTAACTCTCCATTATTATAACGGTGTCCCAGACATAATCAACTCTTTTAAAAAAATAAAATGACTATACTCACATTTTAGGCAGTCAAATTTATAATCCTAGGGCCCATTGCTGTTAAGCCTTTGGTGAAGTTGTCAGAGGGGACCGCAGAGAGTTTTCAGTGAGGCAAGCAGCTCTCCAAATGAGCAATGGTCTAACAAGAAATAAGAAGGAGCTGATGTTTCATTTATCCTCCTAGGGTGACCCAAAGACGTTCCATTAGGGCCACCCCCTAAATCTAGACAAACTCCCAATACATCTCTTGAGATGCAAGTTAAACCCTTAGGCCTTTCTAGAGACAGTCAAGATCTAAACCATAAAATTTTTTCAAAATTATATTTAATAAAATCTTTAGCTTTGAAGTAAAAATTTAAAATTTTTATCTTTTGACAAGTCACACACAGTCTAGAGGAAGTAATGATAACTAATGGTTAGAAGTTATTCATTTCAGAAATGTATAAAGCAAGCATGAGTTTGTGTATAACTATAGACCTAGAATCTTTTTGCCTTTAATTAAAGTTATTATCTTTCACATATAGGAAAAATGCAAGAACATATATTTTAGAAATGAAAAATATATTCAATGAGACAACCCGGAGAAAGCTACAACAAAAAGAAAACTAATGTTTTATGAAATTTGTACACAAGATCTTTCGACGGAGGTGTCTGTCTGGTTCCACCTGTAATGAACAAGTTGAATGATTTATAAGGCTTGAACCTATGTCTTCTTTCTCTGTCTGTCCTCTGAGAAGAATCCAAAGAGCTGCTAAAAAGTTTTGTAGCACTTTTTTTTAAAAAAAAAGAAAGCTCTCTGAATCTATATAATAGAACAAGGATTTATTTACAAATGGTATGTTGGAAAGAATATTTAACATCCAGTGGGAAGTGCTTTGGTTTTTCGAAGCCTAAGTTTTATGTGTATGTGTTTCAGTGATTCGAGAAATGGTGTATGCGACACGACAGACGTGGGGAATAGATTTTGTCTACGCTTTTGCTTAAATCAAATGCTCTGGATACTGTGACGAATGAACCTTTTACAAAGGAGTGAGCACTAGTTATTGAATATTGGATTCATGAGGAGATGTGTTTTTAGTTTCTGAAACAATTCAGAAGCAATATACACACATCCAAAATTTTTAGCTTCCTTTGTGTGTGACTAAACTATTACTTTAGATGTCAGTAAATAAGCCAACCTACCAGGTGTGTACTGTCTGGAAATGAAACATAATTGGATCAGAACCTCACTTGGAGTACAAACAAGACTATCTATGACTCATCACCATGAAGCTTTCTGAATCTTTTACCATACTTACAGCTCATAGTCACAAAGTATTTACCTCACTAAAGTTATTAGGAATATGATATGATCCAAAGGTGATCCAACCTGCCACCGCCTATCTCAGTGATAATTTTCCACCTCCTTGTGATATCCATATGCTTAAAAACAGAACAGATCTCAGGGTTAGACAATTAACACTTGTATTCCATAGTGACAAGACTCCTAAATAGACAGTCCTGTATGTACAATTAAGAATCATACAAGGATATGTGTTCAACTATGTTCATAGCAGAATTATTAGTAATAGCCAGAACCTGGAAACAACCTAGATGCCTTTCAATTGAAGAATGGATACAGAAAATGTGGTGCATTTACACAATGTAGTATTACATAGCGGTAGAAAATAATGGCATCTTAAAATTTGCGTGCAAGTGGATGAAATCAGCAAATGAATTTTCAGAGCACTTAAAAATAAAACTATTTTAATTATATATTTCAACATTTTAATAAAAATTGATTTTACTCTCTGTTATATAATGGGCAAGTGTTTTATTATTAATGCTTGCTAATAAAAATATACAATTTTATAAATGAGGTAGTATCAGTTTGTACACTGATACACGGAAACTTACCAGGACATTCAAGATCATGGTAATTTTCATTCAAATAGCAGGTGTGTTTCCTTATATAGCACAATGTAACAACATGTAGGCTCATATAACAGATACTAATCCTCCACAAATTCTCTCACTAGAAAGAAACCTAAATAACCTTTCCCCTTCTTTTATTGGGAATGATCATTTTTTAATTACATTAGGATGAGAATGTTCATTAAACTCTTCACCAAGATTAATTATAATAGCAGATATTCCAAAATATAGCTGGGGTTTTCAAGTAAGTGCAAATGCTTTTCATGGCTCTGTCTTCGCTGTTTGAGCAGAAGGACAGAAATGTCAGAGATGAAGGGACTGTAACGAAAAAAATGACAAATTCTTTTCCTATCTAAATTATGAAATAACACACGATTAAGGCAACTTTTCTGTCCTCGGGTCAGCTTTCAAAATGCAGAAGTTAAATGTCAAAGCTGAGTGCTCAGGTTCAGACAATTTCTGCTAGATCAAGTGAGGCCTCCTCCTGCTTCCTCCTTTAAACAGGTGGCTCTCCATGCTTCTTCCCATAGGTCTAAAAGGGGGGAAATACTCGTGGTGTTATAGGGATGCAATATTAACAAGTGAAAAATTAAATATTAACACAAACCTTGCAATTGACAACCATAGATCAGAACATGAATAATAAACTTTGGAAGAGGAGGAGGAGGAGAATCAAGGGTTCACAATTCTCACAAAATCCTTGAAACCAGAGGGGCTATGAATGTGCTTCAAGTCTCAGGTAGCACCCTGGGACTGAACATAGCAATCTTGTCAAGGAAATGCATGGCAACACACAGCCCCGTAGAAAAGATCGTCCCTATCTCCAGGTCATTTGAAGGTTTGATGTTACATGTTATAACAAATAAGTTCTTCAGTTTTACAATGCAAACATGGAATTTAAGATCTGTGTTACAAAAGGAAAATGGCATAAGAATTTAAAATGCATGGAATTGATTTTACAGTTTCTAAGGAGGATGCTGTAGAAGATATATATGCAAGGGGTACATACAAAAGAAGAGAAACCTTATTATTTTATGGAGAAGAATTCATGAAAAATACAGTTTATTTCTCATAAGAGACACGGAAAAAAGTATACACAAAGTATACATTCCCTAATCCAACTACACAGAAAGCTGCATGTTCTAAGTCTCTTAACAGAGTCTGGCATTTTTCCCAGATGAATTGTGTCCCTGTCTCCATCTCTTCCATGTGTACCAAATATGAAATATAAAACATGTTATGTCTCTGTATTGAATGCATTGATCTTAAATGATCAGAACATCTTCATTTAGCAATTGGCCCTGTAGTCTTCCATTTGAGAAGTCAGACAAAGTTAACCACTTGGGCTTCAACTGATTCTATGGAGAAATCATGGGTAAAGAAATATCTTTCCGCCGGGCGGTGGTGGCGCACGCCTTTAATCCCAGCACTCGGGAGGCAGAGGCAGGCGGATCTCTGTGAGTTCGAGACCAGCCTGGTCTACAAGAGCTAGTTCCAGGACAGGCTCCAAAACCACGGAGAAACCCTGTCTCGAAAAACCAAAAAAAAAAAAAATTTTTCCTCCCAAACTTTACTAAGAGCAAAAATCAAATTGAAGGCGAGTCCACTGTCAGGATATTAAAGTGTGTGTCTGTGATTCAGTGACTGACGGCCTATCTAGCATGTGAAAGATGAAGAGTTACATTCCTAGCACTGTGAGGGGTAACCTAGTCCCATTCGGGTTCTTGAGAGAAGTATTCTACTAACGCCTTCATCAGAGTTTTAAAAACAGGGCAGGTTGTAATGAAGAAGCTGAATACTGTGTTTTGCTTTACTGTCTAGGTACAAAGAGTTGATGTATTCTTTTCCTATTTAATTTATTTTTAATTTTCAAATATGTTTTTACATAGTTACATAATGTTTCTTCACCTTCTCCTCACTTAAACTTCCCAAGTTAATTCCTTTTGAATTCCTCCCATGTTCTTCGCCATCCAAACTTATGGACTCTTTTTCTTTGATTAACGTTGTTAAGCACACATTTACATAGACATTCATATGTATACCTTTATGTACAAAATCTATAAATACAACCTAAAGTTAATTTTTGCTGTTTGTATGCTTCTAGTTTCAAGGCTGACAACTCTTTTTTGGACACTCAATACTGGGGCTCACCCCTGGGAGTGGTTAATCTATATCACAGGTCGTGCACTGTCTCAAGGAGTGAGCATACAGACATGGAAGGAGGAAAACCTAAGAGGAACCTGTCCTTAGACAGTGAGCTAAAGGTAGCTAAATGACTGCTGGGAGAGAGAATTGATCTCTCCCGGGGATGAGCTTCTTATTTAATTTTTAATAGATATAAGTATACCCAAAACAAAACAAGAGCAAACAAATGAACAAGATTCTCAGTTGTTTCTCATGATTCCAATGGCTAAGGGAAAGTTTCAGATGGTTGGGCCTGCTTTGACGGAAACTGACTCTGCGTAGTTGGTCAAACCTGTACTTGTTTGCTGGTTTCCACTGAGGGGAATAGGCGAGTGGGGATAAATAGGACAGGGAGTAAACAGAATCTGTTGATTTCTGGAAGCACTTAGATCCAGAGAATGAATAACCAGATACACTTGGTTACTTGCTCTTTTGGGCTGCTTCTAAAGGAAAAGTCATCACAAATCTAAACTGGGATTAGACAATTCCCAGACAGCATTGTGATTTTGGAAGAAATTTTAGGCCAGATTGAGCACTTCAATAATGCCCTGAACCTCATTTTCTCCTCTAGTGATGCCACCCACTCCAGGGCCCCATTGCCTGTCAAACTCAAATACTCAAAAATTTACCTCTAACTCCAAAAGAGTGTACCTCATTAACCACATTACCACATTTAAACATGAAAACAAATGGAATAAAGGTTATAGTGGCAATTTTTAAACCATACCAAAAAAATCATACTGTTTAAGAGAATGAAGCTTTTCCAAAATAACCCAGAATTTGGACACCAGATACGGGAAAATGAAAATTTGTCAGAACTTTCAAAATCAGCCAGACGTTCTTTATAAAGAAACAATTATTCTATTTTTAAAATCAGTAGAGTTTAGGGCTAGAAGCAACAGCTGCAGGAACTATGAAAAGGACAGATTGTACCATTATAATCATTGAGCAAAGGGCTACAGACTCAGTATCAGTCTTACGGGGCATTCATATGGATTGGAACTCAACCTGTCAGAAATGTCATCTTCAAATGGGATGTGT